GGGCTGTCTGAAGTACATTATCAAACAATATGATGTTTAAATTATGTATTGCTGTTTTGGTGTTTAAATTATGGCCAATTTTTTTATTGGGTCCTTTCCTTTTTTCTTTTGCAGAACTTTGATGCAGCTGTTGGGGATGTTACGATTACTACTAATAGGACAAGAATGGTTGATTTTACACAGCCTTACATGGAATCAGGGCTTGTTGTAGTTGTTCCTGTCAAAGAGCAAAAAACAAGCCCTTGGGCTTTCCTGAAGCCATTTACTTATCAGATGTGGTTAGTCACTGGTGCCTTCTTCCTGTTTGTGGGAGCTGTTGTTTGGATTCTTGAGCACCGGATGAATCAAGAATTCCGTGGTCCACCGAGGAAGCAACTCATGACTATTTTTTGGTTAGTATGTTTTACATCGTTAAGGCCTCTAATCTGTTGCCTAGGAATTCACTTACTGGCATTGTGTCATAAATGGAAGGGTACTTTTACTGAAACTGCTTTTGCTTTTGCTTTGCAGGTTTAGTTTCTCAACAATGTTTTTCTCACACAGTACGTTTTTCATGCTTAATCTTCCTTTGGTATCATGAAGGTAATTCGCATTATTAACTCCTAACATCCTTTGCTACTTGGACTTGGCGCAGGAGAGAACACTGTGAGCACCCTGGGACGGCTGGTGCTGATTATATGGTTGTTTGTGGTCTTAATTATCAATTCGAGCTACACAGCTAGTTTGACATCAATCCTCACGGTGCAGCAGTTGACATCACGAATCGAAGGGATTGACAGCTTGATAGCAAGTAACGATCCAATTGGAGTTCAAGATGGGTCATTTGCATGGAAGTATTTGGTTGATGAGCTCAACATTGCGGAATCTAGACTCGTCAAGTTAAAAACCATGGAACACTACATTGAAGCCCTTCAGTATGGACCGAAACGTGGTGGGGTAGCTGCCATTGTTGATGAGCTTCCTTATATTGAGCTGTTTATGTCCAACACCAAATGTAAATTCAGGACGGTGGGGCAGGAGTTTACAAAAAGCGGATGGGGATTTGTAAGTACCATTGTTGATTTTGATCTTAAGTCACACTGCATTCCTTAGTTTCCTCATGGATACCTCAGACAGGAAAGGTGGCATTGTGCTTAAAATGTAGTCATGTGAATGAAAACAATAATTCTCATATTCAGTTTCCTTGTCTCAGGCATTTCAAAGGGATTCTCCTCTTGCTGTTGACTTGTCAACCGCCATTCTTCAACTCTCAGAGAACGGAGATCTCAAAAAGATCCGTAATAAATGGCTTTCGCATAACGTATGTTCTATTCAAATGAATGAAGTTGATTCAAACCGGCTATCTCTGACAAGCTTTTGGGGCCTGTTTCTTATCTGTGGCGTTGCATGCTTCCTTTCTCTTACGGTGTTCTTCTGCAGAATCCTTTGTCAATACCGCAGATTTATCCCGGAGGCCGTGGAAGGGGATGTGGAGGAGATTGGACCTCCTTCCAGGAGATCTAGACCCTCGATCCGATCAACTAGTTTCAAGAACCTCATGGACTTTGTAGATACGAAAGAAGAAAAGATCAAGCACTTGCTTAAGCGAAAAGGAAGTGATGGCAAACATGATGAAGCTAGCAAACATGATGAAGCTAGTCCTAGCTCTGATGGGCAGGCCCATTCACCCTCTTAAGGAAGATTTGCTCTCTGCATTCAGCTGGTAACCACACTATTAATGAAAAAATTTATGTATCTAATATCCTTGTGCCAAAAGTTAATTAGGTATATAGAATAACATTACATGGTTTAGAAAAACAGAAGGAAAAAAGAAATTATGAGAAGATCCTTTTGCTAGTTGTAGACCATTTTGTATTGAACAATAATGCTCATACTCCTTATTTTAACTGATGAATGACAGAGTTCCACCAATTGTAGATGATTCCTTTTTACCATATTCAAGTGGAATTAACAGCCCTTGACCCCAACTTAACTACCTGTTCAGGTGATGTGGTGTTTTATACAAAAAGCTTGTTAATAGGAGTGGAATCATTCATTATATGAGATTTTCTATTTTGTTAAGTTTCCGACGTGGGATTTTTTGAATTCTTCAACAGTTGGGACCAACAAAATAGATGAATACGGTATTTCAAGAAAAGATTATTATAACAACCATCTAATTGAGTGGTCAATTGGTTTTGGATTAAAGTGATTTTTTTGCAGATGTGATCTTTGAGGGAATATCTAAAAACTAGATAGTTTGAATCATTGAAATACAATGCGTATTGGGCCTTACAAGTGAGTGTTGAGGATGTCTCACCTAAAACGTTGAGAATGAGTCGTAGTCTACCTTATTCATTTGAGGTTGAAATGTGTTGTATGATTATATTAATATCTTAAAGGCTTTTTATCACAAATGGTCCCTGAGGTTGGTGAAATTATCGCCTTTCGTCCTTAATGTTTTTTTGTGACACTAATGGTCCTTAAGGTTACCCTTCACACATCAAAATGGTCCCTGACGTTAACTTCCGTTAAATTTTCTGTTAAAATGCTGACTTGGTACATACATGGCCACACATCCAATAATATAGAGCCATGTGGCATTAAATAATATATTTTTAAAAAATTGAATTTTTTTTTAAAAAATAAGAAGATTAAAACTTAAATTTTTTATTTTAATTTTAAAAATGAAGTTGTTTCTCGCCTCCTACCTCTCTCCTCCTTCCAACCTGCCAACCCACCTCCTTCACCCCTCCCTCTTCTCTCTCTCTCTCTCTCTTTCTCCTCAGATTCGTTGGTGATGGTCAGGCAAGCAAAGAACTGGGTCGGAATCTGGCTGGGTAAATGGATCTGATGCAAGGGCATAATTGGTTTCGATATTTGGGGAAGGCATGGGGTCCAAATCTGGAATGGGTATGATGGGCAAAGGGTTTAGTTGGTCTGAATGGGTGGAGGAAGTGGCTGTGAATCTATGATGGTTGGATTTTTTTTTTCTTTTTTAGTCGGAGCTGCTGAGAGAGATGAAGCTTTTGTGATTACAGTGTACATGCTTTAAAATTTGAAATTGTGTTGGTTTCTTCTTGTTGGTTTTTTTTAATTGAATGGGAAGAGGGAGGGATTTCTTAGTGGGCATGGAAAAACAGAGGGAGTGGGAGAGGGGGAGAGAGAGAGAGGAGAGGGAGAAATGGTAGAGGGGTAGACGCAGGGGAGGGCGAAGGGCCAGAAGGGGATGGCTGAAGGTTTTTTTTTTTAAATTTAAGTTTTAATATTTTTTTTAAATGTAATTTTATTTTAAATATATTATTTAATACCATGTGGCTTTATATTATTGGATGTGTGGCCCATGTATGTGCCACATCAGCATTTTAACAGAAAAATTGACGACAGGGACCATTTTGATGTGCGGAGAGTAACCTTAGGGACCATTAGTGTCACAAAAAAACATTAAGGACGAAAGGTGATAATTTCACTAACCTCAGGGACCATTTGTGATAAAAAGCCATCTGGGAAAGATAGTACAAAGACATCCATAAGGTACTTGTTTATTCCCATTTTATTGCTTTCGTATTGCTTGTCTACTGCCACTTTATTGCTCCTTTATTGCTTCTGTATTGCTTTCATATTGTATGTCTATTGCCACTACATAATTTACATGACATAACAATGGAGTGGAGCCATGATTTTGGTTTGGTTTTCTTAATTATTATAATTTTTTGCAGGGGAAGCAACTATGGGTTTGATTACAAAAAAGGGTGTGACGTCCTTAATGGAAACCATTTGGGAGATGAGGGGGTTTACACAATATTCATTAGTGTTTCGGTGTTTCAAACTTCTATACATATAAATAAAAATAAAAAAGCTCATTCAACTGAGCTATACCCGATTCGACTATTTTATATAATTACATATTTACAGAACACTTTATACAGTTAGGTTGAGTTGTAAATTAAATTATTATTATTTTCGGTTGGAAAAGATATTTATTGAGAAATATCATAAGAGTTACGTTAGGTAAAGCCCAACCCAAACGAAAAATATTATTTAATCCAATTGAAGTCGACGTGTGAAGACAAAACAAACATGATATCAATGTCTGAAACCATTGATGGACAACGTGTATGTGTCGCGCCCACGTTAATTTAGACTTGGATGGAGGGAGAGGAGGCTCACAATCATTTATAATCCTTTTTTATTACTACTTAATTAGACACGTGGATCAAACTGATTTGCATGTGGCTTCTTTATTGATTATTAATTAATAGTAACCAATCAACAATAAATTTAATCATCTCTCTTTAACTTAAGTTCAAATTAGTTGGTCCAAGCATATCTGGAAAGGTCGGTTACTAAACTACATAATTATCCAAAATCGCATTAGGTGCGTAATTTACAGGCAAGAAAAACAGAAATCGGTGAATATACATTGAAGCAAAGTAACAACTGTTTGGTGTCAATCAAACATCACCCCACACACGCAAACCAACCAAAGTAAAACCTAAAGAAATTGAATTTCTCCTTAGATATTTCCCATTTTAGATATATGTGTTTTTTTTTAAAAGTAATAAGATTTCTCACACACACAACTAAGATACTGGAAATTCAACTTATTTTTAGTAACCAAGAAATGAAATTTCCCAACTCATTTTTCAGGCGGATGCAATGCAACCTCTTAATATGAACTTCTTTAGTGAAATTAACAAAATAAAAAAACTCAAAAAAAAACTTTTCTTTATAACGATAAATTTATGTCAGCATATAACGCGGTGCTACTGTCACAGAAGATCATCACACACCACTTATATAAAACCCGAAAATACGTGTAGCAATGAAAGACGGCAATCAGGAGTATTTGGTCCACACTATTACCGGTCAACTGTCCCGTTAAAGTAGTCACATTGATAGCAAAAGGTAGTTGTAACTGAAAAAGAATCGAAAAAGAAAAAAAGAAAAAAGATTGAAAACGCAATACAAAGCATATTCTAAAAATACCCACAAGTCATGAAAATATGAGAGCAACAGAAGTAGCTTTTCATTTTCCATGGCCTTTACAGAACAAGAGCCTTTCACTTGCTGTTGAGGCCATCCCCCACTACCTTCACCATAACCATAACCATAACCATCCCTTTTGAAGAAACCAAAAAAAATTAAGCTTCAAGATTGATTGACTGTTGTTCAAGCTTTCTAGCTTTGCCGATCGATCATTTATATATTTATCTACAGTCGAGAAATTAAGAAAATGGTGCACCACCACTTCACCCTCAGGCGAAGAGTTAAACGCCGCGTTACGTTGCTCCGCCGCTGCATTAAACGTGTCATGGATCGGCTGCTCATGTCTTGCCTAGGAAAGCCAGTCCGGTACCGGATGGTGCCAGGTTCCGCCGTTATGTCCCCGAATCAAAACTATCTACAGTCGAGAAATTAAGAAAATGGTGCACCACCACTTCACCCTCAGGCGAAGAGTTAAACGCCGCGTTACGTTGCTCCGCCGCTGCATTAAACGTGTCATGGATCGGCTGCTCATGTCTTGCCTAGGAAAGCCAGTCCGGTACCGGATGTTGCCAGTTTCCGCCGTTATGTCCCCGAATCAAACCCCTTCTTCCACTTTCGCGCCGTCATCGTCACCGTCTTCGAAATCAAGGGAGCTCCTCTGTCGTCCTCACCATCAAAACAAGAGTGCTAGCCGTCGTCAGAACCCGGAATCCAAGGACGATTTGGTAGCCTTGAAGATCAGCCTCTTGGGGGACAGCCAAATTGGAAAGACTAGCTTTTTGGTAACTAATTTACCAAACTTCTTCTTCGTACATGGTACGAACTCGTATGTCATACGAACACATATACAAAATATGTGTCGTTATACAATTTCGTACCATGTAACATTCTCATTCTTCTTTTAAATTTTCATGTGCTAATTAGATTTGGTTGATCAGGTAAAGTATGTAGGGGATGACGAGAAGGAAGAGGGAGGAGAGACAGAGGCGACAGGATTAAATTTGATGGATAAGACATTGTTGGTCAGCGGTGCACGTATATCCTATAGTATTTGGGAAGTTGGAGGTATGCAAGTATTAATTATAATCTCATGATTTTATTTCGTTTTACGATTTAATTTTTGAGTTAGTTTACATGAACATGTTTCAATTTGTGGTGCAGGTGATTTAAAATCCCAGGATAATATTCCGGTTGCTTGCAAGGACTCTGTAGCTATTTTGTTCATGTTTGATTTAACAAGCCGGTGTACGCTAAATAGGTGTGTTTGATGTTTCATTAGATTAATGTTGTTTCGATTAGCATTCTTAATCCTTTCGATAATTACAAACGAACAAAAATCTGAGGAATTTAATTTCTGGGATTGCAGTGTCATAACATGGTATCACCAAGCAAGGAAATGGAATCAGGTAACTTTCCACATAAAATGCATCGAATTTTCTTCAAGTTTATGTTTTTATAATTATTACATCGTGTGTTAATCTTGTTTTATGGTTGTTTTGCAGACAGCAATCCCAATATTAATTGGAACAAAGTTTGATGATTTCATCCAACTCCCCATTGATTTGCAATGGACAATTGCAAGTCAGGTAAGGATATAATTTTACTCAAATTTACTCATCTCCAATTCTTGCCCTACTCATATTTTTTTCTTTTTTGAGAGAAACTCGATGGTACGAGGGAAAAGCTCTACTCAGATTTAGGCATTCTCAATTTACTTAATCGTTTATACATAAGTGTTTAGTGAAAGAACATCAAATTATTAGGGGCCTAAGCTAACTAGTATGATGAGCTTGAAGTAATCTTTCTAGAATAATAAACAATGACAAAAAAAGATCACGAGAATTTCGAGACATCCAGGTCAATGCTCAACAGAAAATGGAAGCTAGAAGAGCCTTCTATTCAAATTCAATCTGAGGTGGGGCACGAACACTAACCAACCAATTCAAAACTTCACGGAAATTTTTCAATGCAAAAATTAAAGTGAACCACGTGTGGGCCAAGAAATCCTTAGAAAGAGTTAACTCACCAAACAACTACTCTGGTAAAATATAGGCTCCTCCCCTGGTCCCCTGTTCACTATTCACCAAGATTTCACCCACAGCCACCCACTTTTGATTCAAAAATGGATTCAATACCCACCCATTTTAAGGAGAGTACGGAGTTTGAGTTGTGATATGGTCGTCGTCCACGATCACGTGGATGATTTATGAGAGTTGATATGGGACTTATAATGCATCGACATGGAGCGACTGATAGTAACATTTTTCTTTTTTGTTTAACACGAAACCACTTGAACTTTTAGAATCTACCACTTCATCATCCAATGCATAACATCATTTGAGCAATTTGTGCTCCAGTTTAAGGATTTCAATTGGGAAAGCAAAATGATATTGAAGCTGAAGTTTGATATCTATGTCTTAACTGTGTGTGCAGGCAAGAGCATATGCAAAGGCCCTCAACGCAACACTCTTCTTTTCGAGTGCAACTTACAACATAAACGTGAACAAAATCTTCAAATTCATAACGGCCAAGCTCTTCGACTTGCCATGGACCGTGGAGCGCAATCTCACCATTGGAGAGCCTATTATTGATTTCTAGGGTAGTATTTGTCTCTCTAACCCCAAAAGAAGATACAACAGTCAAACAGGTCGGTTCCTGCAGGCTGGGAGTTGTCATAGTCGTCGTCAGTCTTATAACAATTTGGGTTTCATTTTTTCCATTTCATGAGTTTTCTTTTACTGGTTCTGTTTCATGATTTGGAGAACGGGAGAGGCGGACAGCCCACATCTCCATATATCAATAAAGTTTGTTCAAGAAATTGTAGAGGGAGTTCGAAAATGAAAGAAAAGAAAAAAAAAATCATAAGTTTTGCTACAATTTCAGTCCATATCTAATGATCATGCAAATCAAAGTCAAAACCTGCATATCTCTTTTTTTTTTGGTCTCAACAGTAGTGATGCATAGTTTTCTTTAACCTACAACAATGGCAGATAATGCTGTCAAATTGTTTGAATGGGAGATCCAGATATAGAGAAGAGAAAAACAACCATGACACTCATGTAAAAGAAGATGACATTACGTTGTTGGTTCAAATAGAAATCAAATAAGCTGCTGAGTTCAACTGTCGGTATAGTTAGAGCATATGAAGCCGTAATCTCAGTGGCACTCCAACATTATATTATTTAGACAATAGATAACAAAAATTGGAAATTTTGAGACGAGCCAACCTAAAAATGAAATTGTTTACGAAGCCAAGGTGGTTTTACTCCAGTTTCACCTCTCTAGTTGGGGGATCCAGCTGCAAATATGTATATGGCTCCGTTGGTTCCTCCCTGCAGGCCAACACAAACACTTTAGAAAGGCAGCATAAGTGGTAGTGAATGATGTAACTGATACAGTATCACATAACATATAAGTTATCTATGTAATTATATGTATAGAATGAATTGGGACAGCATTTTGAAGGTCAACCATACCCGGGTTTGGATCGCATGCACTGCCAGAAAAGCTTAAATGGCCCTGGAACTGTCTTGAATGGGTTGCCCTCAAAACAAGCCTACACAATACACAAGCAAGATCAACTGAGAAACTTGGAAGGGAACCCTATTAATATTTGAGTTCTAAACATTTAAACCACTTAATCCTCTCTCGCAGATAACCAAAATAAGAACATATTCAAGCCTTTTACATAACTTTTGGGCAGAAGCTAAACAAGGCATCGAAAGTGGAAAGTTTTCAGTTACTACTAAACAAAATAATAATAAAAAAATCAATGCAAACTCTCCAAGTCCGTTCTCAACCTGATCATCCCTTAATATCACCAAAATGAAGCTTAAATCTAAAGACTTGATCACGACACCTTCACATTGAAGATAAATCCTCTTCCCATTGAGCTTATTTTCCTCACTTCCACAGGCCAACATCTGCAACGCCCTCTCCCTAATCACTATGAGCTATGCGAGTGTTGTTTTAGATTGATTCTAAAGGAGGAAAAACATTGTGAAATATTAGGGGGAAAAAAGGTGGAAAAGGGTGTTCCATTTTACCATTTACTATAACTTACAAATATAAGTGTTATACAAAGTATACAGCGGGAGCTTGAATTAAAGAGCAGGTTTAATTTCAACTTTGACGGATGAACAAATTCTTTTAAAACAGAAATCTAATCAAATATGTATAGACAGTCAGGCCAAAAGTTTTTCAATTGAAACTCCAACTTATATCAAGCACAAACATTCAATTGAACTCAAATCCATCAAACGCGAGCAGGTGAAAGTGTTTGAGCTGAAAATCTCTTCCACTTCACTTCCTCATACCCAAAACCATCAAACCAATTAAACCCAAAACCCCATCTAAACATATTAACCAAGCCCACACACCCACATACACAGAGCAATTAGAATGGCAATTGAGCCAAGAAAAAACTGAAAAATTCCAACCCAATTCTTGAATCTCATTCTTACGACAGAAAGTTAAAGAATTTAATCAAGAACACTAACATTTGTGTATAAAAGATAGTTGAATATCTCATATAAGCATCACAGATGTGAATTCAGAAAAGAAAAGCACACAGAGGGTTTTGTGTTACTTGGATGACGTCCTCGGCTCGGTCATTGCAGCGATGGGCCTTAGGTTCACGATGATCTCCCTCTGGCCTCCCCCATGGGCTCTCTCTCCTTGGCACTGGTCGAGTCTCGCTCATCGTGAAGGTAATGCAGTTCAACTTCAAGCTTCAGACTTTGCTCTTTCGTCCCAACTCTATAATAAACATACATAAAACGGCGTCGGGTCGCACGTAGGAGAGTTTTTCTTTTCTTGTGAAAGTGCTCTCCAAATAAAAGAATCAAATAGTAAATAACACTATTACATCACTATGAGACCTCTTCATGTGATTTTATCTGCGTAGTAACATTCTATGTGATTTTATTTTATAAATTCACTTTTTCTTTTCTTTTTCTTTTTTAAAATTTTATAAATTGATTTACTAATTACTCTAATGTATGGGATCAAGAATTGAATTTGGGTAAAAGAGGCAGACACACTACCTTAACTAACTGTACGGAATCGAAAATCGAAGATCGAGGATCGAAATTATTTCTCAAACTTGAGTTTGTTGGCATGGAATTGACGCTACTCATCTTTAATTTCCCTTTTCGTATTTCAAGAAAAAACTATTATAACAACCATCTAATTGAGTGGTCAGTTGGTTTTGTATTCAAGTGATATTTTTTTGCAGATGTGATCTTTGAGGGAATATCTAAAAACTAGTTTGGATAATTAAAATACAATGTGTGGTGGGCCTTATAAGTGAGTAAACTTATTAGAGGATGTCTCACCTAAAACATTGAGAATGAGTCGAAGTCTACCTTATTCATTTGAGGTTGAAATGTGTTGTATGATTATATTAATATCTTAAATGCTACGACGACCTGCCTTATGCATGGGACAAGCCACAATTGATAGTTTTATTCGATCTCGTTACTACCAAATAGTGTGACAAATAGTATTTTTCAAATAACAAATATGGAATACTATATGGGTCATGATCGGTTCATAATTGTATATCATTTTGTACCCTTCTAGCTTATGATTTGGTTATGTTTTTGAGTTAAACTTGTGCTTTTAATGTTTCCTCACTTCCACAGGCCAACATCTGCAACGCCCTCTCCCTAATCACTATGAGCTATGCGAGTGTTGTTTTAGATTGATTCTAAAGGAGGAAAACCATTGTGAAATGTTAGGGGGACAAAAGGTGAAAAAGGGTGTTCCATTTTACCATTTACTATAACTTACAAATGTAAGTGTTATACAAAGTATACAGCGGGAGCTTGAATTAAAGAGCAGGTTTAATTTCAACTTTGACGGATGAACAAATTCTTTTAAAACAGAAATCTAATCAAATATGTATAGACAGTCAGGCCAAAAGTTTTTCAATTGAAACTCCAACTTATATCAAGCACAAACATTCAATTGAACTCAAATCCATCAAACGCGAGCAGGTGAAAGTGTTTGAGCTGAAAATCTCTTCCACTTCACTTCCTCATACCCAAAACCATCAAACCAATTAAACCCAAAACCCCATCTAAACATATTAACCAAGCCCACACACCCACATACACAGAGCAATTAGAATGGCAATTGAGCCAAGAAAAAACTGAAAAATTCCAACCCAATTCTTGAATCTCATTCTTACGACAGAAAGTTAAAGAATTTAATCAAGAACACTAACATTTGTGTATAAAAGATAGTTGAATATCTCATATAAGCATCACAGATGTGAATTCAGAAAAGAAAAGCACACAGAGGGTTTTGTGTTACTTGGATGACGTCCTCGGCTCGGTCATTGCAGCGATGGGCCTTAGGTTCACGATGATCTCCCTCTGGCCTCCCCCATGGGCTCTCTCTCCTTGGCACTGGTCGAGTCTCGCTCATCGTGAAGGTAATGCAGTTCAACTTCAAGCTTCAGACTTTGCTCTTTCGTCCCAATTCTATAATGAACATAGATAAAATGGCGTCGGGTCGCACGTAGGAGAGTTTTTCTTTTCTTGGGAAAGTGCTCTCCAAATAAAAGAATCAAATAGTAAATAACACTGAGACCTCTTCATGTGATTTTATCTGCGTAGTAACATTCTATGTGATTTTATTTTATAAATTCACTTCTTTTTATTTATTTATTTTTATAAATTGATTTACTAATTACTCTAATATATGAGATCAAGAAACGAACTTGGGTAAAAGAGGCAGACACACTACCTTAACTAACTGTACGGAATCGAAGATCGAAGATCGAGGATCGAAATTATTTCTCAAACTTGAGTTTGTTGGCATGGAATTGACGCTACTCATCTTTAATTTCCCTTTTTCCATTTCGTTAATTTTGGAATATGAGAATGTTTTTGCCAAGTACATTCCATAACCAAACATTTCAAATGTGCCAAACATGTCACCTAATTAAGAGTTGATGTCTGGGCGTGTGAGTGAGTCAAAACATCCCCATATAAATTTCACCCCATGTTGATATTCAACGTCCCAAGATCCTCATTTTGCTACCATTCTCATTTCTCCTTGGCTAGCTATTTTCCATTCCTCGCAAACATAGCTAGGCCAAACCTCCAAACTTCACCAACAAAAAAATGGGTGTTCTTGTCAAGCTCATTGATGCCTTGCTCTTCCTCTTGCTCCTGGCGATTGCTTTCGAAAAGCCATTGATCGAAGCACAAGCATGTCTCCCCGGCGACCTCTACCCCAACATTCTGGTGGACCTCAGGAACTGGTATGCCCGCGAGTCGGGCGACTATCTCATGACGGAGATGCCCGATTTCTACGTCGGGATTATGTGGGTTGAGCTTGTTTTTCAATGGCCTCTCGTGTTCATTAACCTTTATGGCATCTTGACTGGCAAGCCTTGGTTCAACATCACGTGCTTGAGCTATGGCATCTCTCTTTTCACTTCTATGGTAATTCTTAAATCTGTTTTAATAGACGTGCGACTCATATTGGAGAGATGATACAGAAAATAGTGGTTAGTTAAGATAATATATGTAACGGTTTCTCGACATGTTATGTATAAAGATCGAGACTTGTATCAATTAATTAACCTTGCACTAATTGTTATTGTTTCTCTCCATTGTCTTGAATTTTCAGGTGCCTATATTTGCAGAATTGACGGGCTCAGGAAGGGCACCTGATAAGCTATTGACTGTGTACTTTTCTTTCTTGAGTTTGGGTGTTTTGGCCATACTGCGTGGGCTGCTACCAACCTCATCAACCAAGACTTCCGCAACCAGTGGCAAGAGACCTGCTTCCGGCAGGAAGAAGAAAGTTTAAATCGTGTCTAGTTCAGAAGATTTATATAATTGTATGGAGGAAACATATCTGGAGAACAAAATGTTCTGATTTTTGTAGAATGGTATGTTTGCCAAGAACAATTTATGAGATGCATTATTAGAGAAGAGTTTGACTATTATATTATATATGTGTCAAATTGTCCAACAATAAAAAAAAAAACAATTGCTGAAACTAACATGCATGTTAGTGATGGATTATTAAACAAAGACCAACCTGTAAATATGGCAGTAGACTTTACCAACTAGCCTCCCAACATCTCCAAGATCTAGTTTTGCAATATCACACAGAGAAACAGAGCAAAACAGAGCAAAACCAGAGCCTCAAAAGGTCAAAACAAAAATGGGTGCTTTAGTGAAGACAATCGACGCCATACTCTTTGTGATGTTTGCCATAACAGCAGTGAACGCAGTGCTGATAGACGTCCAGTTGTGTCTGCCGGCGAGCTTCTTCCCAAGCTCGCTGGCGGAGCTCAAAAACTGGTACGTCCATGAGTTCGACGATTACCTTGGCAAAGAGAAGCCTCATTTCTTCGTTGGCCTCATCTGGGTGGAGCTCGTATTCCAGTGGCCTCTTTTGGTCGCCAACTTGTATGGGATTTGGGCTGCTAAGCCCTGGTACAACACCACCTGCTTGGCCTATGGCGCCTCTTTCTTCACCTCACCACCATGGTAAACTTGTTTTTTTTTTTTTTTTCGTGGCAAAAAGTCACATTTGATTTCTATAGTTTAATTTGGGCAATTTGATCCATGTAGTTTAATTTTGGAAGTTTCATCCGAATTTGACAGAATTTGTAATATGTCCTTGAATTGGAAGGAATTTAAAACTCTAAGGATAAAATTGACAGAATTGAAATTACAAGTACCAAAGTGGTAAAATGGGAAACTACACTGATCAAAGATGACTTTTTCACCTTTCTTCATTTTTTATGATATGTCAAAGTAGTTGAGATTTTAATCAAATTGATTTTGATTAATGTTACATATTTTCTGGCTTATGGCTTGGTAAAAATTGCAGGGCGCTATATTAGCGGAGCTCATAGGGTCAGGCAAGGCATCTAATAAAATGTTAAAGTTGTACTACCCTGCTATGGGGTTTGCTCTCCTAGCCATCATGCGGGGGCTGCTCCCTCCTCCGTCCACCACCACTTCTTCAACCGGTCGCAGAGGAACAATCAAAAGGGTGGGCCTACCAAAGAATAAGAAGATGATTTAGAATTCAAATCTTTCATCAATTTTCCTTTTGTCAATTCTTTTTCCCTTGAGGGTTTCATCAATTTTCCTTTTGTCAATTCTTTTTCCCTTGAGGGAGACACATTCCTCCTGATTCTTGTTCAACCTTAGTGAACTTGTAACATTGTGTGAAAGGTTTTAAACGTTGATGGATTTATAGCAAACGTTTTTTTATTGAGAGTAGCATAAGTATTGATGAAACTCTTGTCATGAATGATTGGAAGGTTTTGGGAATTGGATTCATCATCATTGTATGACAATTGCAAAGGAACAGTTTACTTAGAAAAGACGACAATCCTTGATTGAAAAAAAAACAGACGACGATGTTATAACTCAACATAAGAATATGTATTACCGTTGCTTCCATATTAATGAAAGTTCTTACCAAAAAAATAAAGCGGTAATACAAACAGAGCTCCTCTAGTGCTATAAAGTGGCCTCATTAAAAACCTTGCCATAAAAACCCCCAATAGAGGAAATCCGGTCAAGGAAAAAGAGTACCACAGCACGATATTACATAAAAGAAACTATCCCCATGTCTATCTTTTTCAACATAAGAATATTGAAGTACAGGTGAAGGAGATTATCATCGATGCCAGTAACATAACTAAAATCTTCTAAGTCAGACAAAAAAAAACCTAAAATCTTCGAAGTGAACCGACAAAAAGAAAAGAAACAACCAGTAGTTTTTTTAAAAAAAATCTTTTAAATCTTTTTTTCTTTTTCCTTGAAGATGCAAAACAAAAGAAAAAAAAAAGACTCAAAAAAAGAAAGAAAGAAAGAAAAAGCTCATCCTCTCATCATCATTGTATGACAATTGCAAAGGAACAGTTTACTTAGAAAAGACGACAATCCTTGATTGAAAAAAAAAACAGACGACGATGTTATAACTCAACATAAGAATATGTATTACCTTTGCTTCCATATTAATGAAAGTTCTTACCAAAAAAATAAAGCGGTAATACAAACAGAGCTCCTCTAGTGCTATAAAGTGGCCTCATTAAAAACCTTGCCATAAAAACCCCCAATAGAGGAAATCCGGTCAAGGAAAAAGAGTACCACAGCACGATATTACATAAAAGAAACTATCCCCATGTCTATCTTTTTCAACATAAGAATATTGAAGTACAGGTGAAGGAGATTATCATCGATGCCAGTAACATAACTAAAATCTTCTAAGTCAGACAAAAAAAAACCTAAAATCTTCTAAGTGAACCGACAAAAAGAAAAGAAACAACCATTAGTTTTTAAAAAAAAAATCTTTTAAATCTTTTTTTCTTTTTCCTTGAAGATGCAAAAAAAAAGAAAAAAAAAAGACTCAAACAAAGAAAGAAAGAAAGAAAAAGCTCATCCTCTTGTATTCTGTCATGAAGACAGAAGTAGCTCAAATTTCGTTCCAGCAGTCGATCAAATCAGTCTTCCTTAGAATGTTTACGTCCATACTCAGCAACACTGGAAAGCCTTGGGCTTCCACTCTGTCTTCATGGCCGGGGCTGCTCGTCTTCCACTTAAACCACCATTAGAAGCATTATACACAACCGACCCACCGTCAAACTCAACAGCATCATCATCGCCATATACGTTCTTCAATAGCACGCTCTCCATGAATTCCTTCTCCTCCAAGGAAACTTGAGTTTGCGGGTTTGTCGTTGAGCCTGCAGAAACCGGAAGCCACCTTTGCCACTCATTACGTCGTCGTATCATTTGACCATGCACTTCTACACGAGTTGAGCGCTGCATCAGAACATCAAGGATAAATGGTATGTTTGTGCACATCCTCTTGAGCTTGTTAAATTCAGCAACGTTGGATATCGGAACCCATCCTTTGTTATCCATCAGTGATCTCAAGAAATAATCCTTGCAAAGATTTTCATCACTGAAATAGTATTCCACTTGTTGAACAATTTTGTTCCTCAAAGTCTGCATGTTAAACTGCGGAAGACCTTGATCGAACATGAATGGCACCGAAGGAGGACCATAACAAAACCCAACACCAGGATGCACAGGAATGTTGTTAAACCCTAATTGGTGATACTGAGGAGATTGCCAACTCCAATGGCCACCACTAGGAAAATTACTTGGCTCATAATATTGCGGTTGGTAAAATACTGGGTGATGCAGGGAAGCTTGAACAGGAACATGAGGCAGATGATGTAGCGGCGGTGGTTGATGGAGGTGAGGCGAGAGGGGTGAAAAAGGCTTCGCATCAGCAGAAAGCTTTGTGGCAGCGTAGGTCTTCATTGGCTTACTTTGACACTTCACAACAAGAGCAGTGAGGATCGCAAAGTTGAATGCATAGCTGGGGGTTTTTATAGGTTTAGTCTTTTGCCTGATTCTTATGGGAATTCTTTTTCTATTTCCTATTAGGATTCGTTCTTAACCTTTTTTTTCATTGTTTTTTTAAACCTTTGCCCCACGCAACTTTGATTTCCTTTTTTTTTGACCGAGTATTTCGTGTTCAAGTCAGGAGAAGATTTGACTGCACAAAACGACTCGAGTCCAAAAAAAAACGACAACAACAACAACAAAACGACTAGGCGTCTGCAAAGCAACCTAACATATCAAGAAACGACACGTCGTTCAGATTAAGAAATTTGACTTAAGATCCCATTTTGCATACGTCTCCTTCCTCGCACACAGCGTTTCACATAGCAAACCGAAAGCTCCATTGAAGCCCAGACAGAAACATCGTAAAGTAGGAAGCAAAAATATATATAACCTCAAGAATTGAAAATGGGTGCTTTGGTGAAGCTTGTTGACGCCACACTCTTCGTCTTCTTCGTCGTAATTGCGCTTGCAGCGCCCTTAATCGACGCGCAGACATGTCTGCCTCAGAGCCTCTTCCCAAGCGTGTTGGTTGAGCTCAAGAGCTGGTACGCGCGCCAATATGGCGATTATCTCGTGACCCAGAAGCCCCATTTCTTTGTTGGGATCGTTTGGCTCGAGCTGCTCTTTCAGTGGCCTCTTTCAATTGCCAACCTGTACGGAATTTTGACTGCCAAGTCTTGGTTCAACACCACCTGCTTGATCTATGGCGTTTCTGTGTTCACCTCCATGGTAAAGTTTGCTTCTTTCTTTTAATACATTGTTAACTTATAATCAATTTCTTGTTTTTGTTTGGTTTTATAACTTGGGTTTGTTAGATCTCTTTTCTTTTTCTCGTTTTCAATTGGGCTAATTTCTTATTTTCTTGTTATATATCTTCCCAAACCAGTAAATTTTATAGGATTCTGGATAGGTTAAATGTAGTATCACATAAGAGGGTGGTTTAATAAGTCAAGCTGTTGGTTTTAGAGTGATTAAATTCATACATCTAAAAATAAGAAGAAACAAATGAAGTGAATAAGTGGTTGGTTGAAGGAGACACATTCGTCCTGATGCTTGTTTCAAGTCCTGCAATGAGACTATATAACTTAAAAATTACAAATTGCCTGACAGAATTAGCCAGCTAAAATATGTTACTTGGTTTATCTGTTAGATTCAATGTAATTCTACCAAACTGGAATAATAGCTTGTTACTCTGATGATGGCATTTGGCCAATCTGGTTGTATAGTTAGAAACCACCCGAACTCATCCAGTTTGTTATCATATTTTATCTGGTAAACCCTCATTTTAAGCTTGCATTGGATAAGAAACGAAACACTGCCGCAGGAGTGCAGGTGAGCAATATCTTAAGGCCACATGAATATTGTTGAATTGTTAATAATTACCCCTAAACACTGCCTGACTATGAACTAATGGGGTTGAGAATTGTAATTGAGTTATGTGAGGTTGAGTTCTTCTGGTTTCTGCACCACAAACAAAGTCTGTAATATTGAAATTCTATTTCTTAATGGATTGTCTACCCCTTTCTTCAAACCTTTTTTTTTCTTTCTTAACGCTTGTTTGTTTTGTGAAAATTTCAGGTTACTATATTATCAGAACTGGTTCAATCCGGCAAGGCTTCTGATAAGCTGTTATATTTGTACTTCCCTTTTCTGGGGTTAGGTGTTTTGGCCATACTGCGTGGGCTGCTGCCACCATCCAGCACGACTAGTTCTAGGATTGGCAAGAAACCTACATTGGGTAGGAAAAAGAAGGCTTGAGATACAACTGACTGACTGACTGACTGAGTTTTTGTAAGAGTGTCATATTTTTCACTTTATGAGATCGAGTCCACAATGTATCGATGAAACTCTTTTAATGGATGATTGGAAGGTTTTGACAATTGTATTTCAGTTTAGTGCATGCTTGATGTTCACCTCTTTAGAGATTGTATGTGAATAATCTGGTGAGTTTCTTCCTTCATCTCTTACTTCAACAAAGAGGTCAGAGTCTTCATTAGACATTGCTGGTTTTACCTTTTGCTGAGAATATCTTTGTTCTGCGCATATTTTTGTTTGCGCTGGCTGCTTGCTGCCGCTGCTCTCTTGTTAGTAAAATAGAGATATAACATATAACTATCTCTAAATGACGTCTTAAATATCGTATCCAGTTTTGTTCTGCGCATATTTTTGTTTGCTGCCGCTGCTCTCTTGTTAGTAAAATAGAGATATAACATATAACTATCTCTAAATGACGTCTTAAATATCGTATCCAGATTGATTTCATCCTTGTATGCCGAAGAAGATTCTACTTAGGAACTCTTTGTCAGTAGTGCCCTGCTGCTGTGATTATGAAGGAGCTTGTAAACTATGTATGTAAGAGTTTTATTGGTGACCTGAAGTATCCATGTCTTTTAACAGGTGAAAAGTTTTCAATTTGACTTTCACTTTTACTTGCAAGATAGCAAGTGCAGAAAGGACATCATTTGATGAGAATATTAATTGCAACCACATCTCCACGGACTCACTACCATGAAGCAAAGCAAAGCACAGATGGATGGCATTATGTATTGCCTGAACCAGAACCCAGCAGCTTGCTTTCCTGTCTGTGCATCTATGGCATATATTAATATCTTATGAAATCTCGATATGCAATCAGAACCAAAAAAATGAAGAGTAGTTGGGTGGGAACATATTCCATGTACCAGCTCCATCTTTCTCATTTATTCTTCTACTTTTCTACTTTTCTACTTTTCTACTCTTTCATTTGCAAGCACCAACTAGGACAGTACAATTAGCAGAAACTCATTGAGCGTTTCAGAAAGATTCACATTTCCAGTTGTCATGGGCTCTCAAAGTGCTCACCCCATAACAGTCTTTATGAGTTTGGCATAATTAATTTCAGCTCGACAAAACATGTACCAACCAATTTGCTAGCAATCAGTGAGAGCCCTTGACAGCAATTTTATCTTACTTTATTATGTTATATAATTGATTTTTTAATTATTTAAAGGTAAAAAAAGTCAATTACTTTTTGGTTCATGCTAAAGGTAGGCTCGACCTTTCCACATCACTAAAAGTATCGGGTAAATAATTTATGTGTATGAAATTACAAAAACATCCCTGTCAAATCATAAATATTAACAAATTTTTGGATGGAGTTGACGATGTGAGACAACATGGAACATCAAACCTTAATTAAGGTGGCAAAGTTGGTCACTTCAACTTTTAAGGGACAAAGTAAAGTTTGACTGTAATTTCAGGAGCACTCTAAACTATCCTTAATTATCTAGATAAATTTTCAAGGAATGCTGGCATAACAATCATTGGGATAAAATTTGTTGACTTTTGATTTCCTCCCCCGACAATGAAAGGACCAAGATTGATTCTATGCGTATTGTAACATGTGTTAGCCACCAAAGGAAAAAAATAACCGTCTTGACGTTGATGGGTTTTCTTAATCAACCCCTTGTATTACAAGTTCAAAAATAAAAGTTTTATCTTTGAATGGGAGTTGTTACTGGCACCCAAGAAAATCTTCCGGCTCTACTTGAGCATAAAAATATAAGAGAAAAATAATTTTTTTTCGAATGCCAATTACAACTCTATTGAATTCGTAATGCATAGCTCAAATTAAAAGTAACTTAATAACAAAACAAGCAAATATCTAAATTCAATAAAGAAACAACACTTAGAAAGAAATTACCTAAGCAAAAGCCTTTTTTTAAAAATATTAAATTTCCCAAAAAGAAATCTTAAACGATCCGACATAGAAAAGCAATATCCATTGCAAAACCCTAATCCTGAATACAAGGTTAAAGAAAAGTGAAAGGAGAGTTCAAATATCCTAAAAATAAGGTCTTAAGTGCTTAATTTTCCTTTAATATTGTTCGAGGAAGTCAAATCCCGAACCCCTAATCTCTTAATCAAGTTCCAAATTAAGGATCATGTAAGGTGCGCTCTTGACTTCTCTCTCTCCTCCTGTGTATAAGCCCAAATCCTTTACCACCATCTGTGTCTGTGTTTCTCTCCTTTCACCTTCCTTCCTCCACCTCAAAACACTACAAAAAAAAAAAAACACAAATAATCATTAAACAGACCAAACTAAGAATTTGTTGTAACATATGTGACATGTAATTAGTTTACCTAAAAATGAACTAAAGTTATGTCATGAAATTCATGTAGTGTCGCAAGACAATGCAGCTTTGATCCTCTCCACGGTGCAAGCAATCAAATTGTTAACTGTTGCCACCGACCCGAGAGAGAGCTTGGCAGTCGGGACAGAATCAACAAGAATCTGAAAGGCAACAGTGAGAAGGGAACCACCAGAGCCAGAATCCCCCATGCCTCCTCCATCTGGAAGGATGGCAAAGCCAGAAGGAAGAAGAGCAACATAGTCAGGGTCACTCCCATTTAGTACCACATTCATGGCAACAATATCCACCGGAGCATAAATCACAAAAGAAGCTGTTTGGTCTGTGCAGCTCTCTTGCAGTATCAGCATGTTGCTCTGGCTTGAATTCGCACTCTACAAAATTAAGTTCATTTTTAAAAGGGCAAGGTTAATATTTTATCAATTGTGATTAAGAGCAGAACATGGATTAATTAAGACAATTAAAATAATAATAGTAATAAGATCAAGCTACATTTACTCGCAGTAGAGACACGCAATTTCCAGTGTCGCGACCATTAGCAATGTGTGCCATTTCTTGAACAATTCCACCATTGGAAAGAATGTCCCACTGCAACCACAAGTGATCATGAAGCACAAGTAATTAGTCGAACCAATTTCTATATGTATTTCATGAATAATTTTAGAATACTAAACTTCCATCTTGGTTTTTCTCGGATTGACCGAAAGAAAACAAGACCACACATTCTTCCTTTTCTGAAAAAACAATGTTTCCATATTCGGAGTGATGTGAAAATCATACACATGTATGTGATTTCCATATATGCTAATGCTTATCCATTTATGGTAAAACTTTGTATGCGTATGCCATGTAAAGAATGATTCCAACCGTATCCTGGCATCCATATATATAGCTAGCTTTTATTGGAAAGTTATTTTTGTCTTTAAGAAGTTATATAGTTATGGTTCATGTACTAGGTTTGGTACATTATTCTGAGATACATGTGTCATGAAGGTATGTGCAATAATTTGGTTAATGTATTAGATCTGATACATCATACTAAGAATCAAAGGATAATGAATTCATGTACCTCATTACGAGAGTTCTCATCACGGAGGAATTCAAATACCCTTTTGGGAGGAACTGGAAGCCAAAAAGATGTGGCGGCGCTGAGCACAATACCGGGAGGCCTACCAGGATCATCCACACTCTTTCGGGTCATCACCCGAACATCATCAGCCCCGGTCCCAGACAGTGTTGTCCATGTGTGAGTGGTTGATGCGCTTACTCCAGCACAAAAGCTTATGACCATCCTTTCAGCCAATTTTAACATGCTTTTTCTGCCTTCTTGATTTGTAATCACTAATTAATCATGCATTTAAAAAAAATAAGGCTTAATTAATGAATCCATGTGCATGCACGGCATGCTATATTAGACACATGCAATCTTTTAAGAGGACGTCTCTCATGTTAGACAATACTACAACGTAGAAGAATAGCCCCACCCAAAATTTTCTCACCATGTATACAAAAAAAAAAAATTGGTTACACTGTAAATTATATTGTTCTTACCACCAACATCACCAGTAGGGATGTTTGATGCCAGGGCACTGGCAAGACGTTCACATTGACGGTCCAAGGTAGCGACCCATCGTTTCGCCCCAAATGCATTGCCGGAGTTAACCAACTGCTTGTACAGATTGTGAACACCACGTTCATCCACATCGACATGCTCAACCCATGTAACCTAAAGCACCAAAAGTTTCAAAATTAAATGACAAATAATGTAATGAGTTAATGGGTTAAATTACATGATGCAAATCAAATATGAATCAGGGTTGGTATATATATATTAATTATGTTACCTTTGAGTATCCATTTGGCATTTCTTGGATGAGACATCCAGAGGGCCTTCTTTGGCATGACCTTGGTGCAGGATTAGGGCGCAGAGTGTCCAAGGAGACATCAACCACAGCCCAAGTGCCATCAACATGCTGTTTGCAGTACCTCACATAATAACTCTCACGAGTTGGAACAAGTGGTGAGGGTACTTGAAATTCTGCCGTCATCTACCAAATCACAAATAATATATTCAATCCAAACATATAATTAACCACGACAAGATAATGTTATTAAAATATTTAAAAAAAATATTTAATGACAAGGAAGAAGATAATAGAATTGTGAAAGTAGATATATATTATACCACTTGCAAGGCTCCATTGTAATTTCCAGCCACTCCAGTTGACAGCACGTCCAGAGTCATAGCTCTTGACACAATCCCAGAAAACACAGTCGACCACTGATTCTAAACAAGATAATAAGTAAAACAAAAAATGATTAGGGTTTATGTTATTCCTCTATTTAAAGACATAATTAATATTTGTTCAATGTTGATGATACAAGTAAATAAGCTTACCACATCCATGAGAATCTCAACAAGGTTGATGTGGTTCATGATAACAACAGCGCTCTCGCGCGAAGCTTCACATTTGAAATGATTGCTTGGTTTTGGAGCAACACGAGGGAATGTTCTGATGTACTCATCTTCATTGAACACGGTGGTGTTGCCATCAAGGCTGGTCATCCACAAGGGTTCACCCATTTGAGCCATTCTGATTAGCTCTTCCATGGCAGCCACTGCAATCTCGATTATCAGTGGCTTGTCTGCCTCATTAGGTCCACTGATAGACCTCAGAAGGTCTCCACCTCCATATATCTCTCCTGCCATGCCCGGCTGACCCCCGAAGCTCCCAACCCCAAGATCAAGTGGACTGCGAGAAGGA